AACAATTTTAGTTAATTGTTTTTAAAAAAATTTGCATGTTATTTTTATGTTTTCGTCAAGACACATGTTATTATGAACCTGTGTTATAGATTTTGGGTGTTATAAGTTATAACTGTGGGGAAGGGTCCCATAATGGTAACAAACCATAGCTGCCAAAAAAAAAAAAAATATGGTAACAAAACATCAGATTTCTTAAGACCACAAAATGTGAGCACATATTGTGAAACCATGATGTTATTATGAAATACGAGCTGCTTAAAAGCAAATGACTGATACAAAGACGTGTTTGCAAAATAAGTCTAAGCATGAGTGAACATGCATCTTTTATTGAAATCTTTAACAGCAAAATAAAAATAAAACTATCACTAGATCTTAGTGATATTAACTTTGAGACCATGTTGCATGCGAAAAAGAACAGAAGGAACAGGTTCGGTTTTGTGCCCTTCAACGACCTTGATGTCATAGTTTCGTATGATTTCCGCAGCCACTGTCTTCATCTGCAAGAACGTTAACTTTTTTCCCAAGCAAGCTCTTGGACCAGCGTTAAACGCCAAGAACTTATATGAAGGTTCATGTTTTAACCTTCCACTGTATGAAATCCATCTCTCTGGTCTGAAATCTTCCGCGTCATCTCCCCAAACAGATTTCATCCTCCCTAATGCATACATAGATATGACAATCTTCCACTTCTCATCGACTTTATGCCCACTTGGAAGCACGTCTGGCTTTGCCGGTGACTTGTGGTTAAATGGAACTGGTGGGTATAACCTTAGCGTCTCACACACGGCACCGTGTAGATACACGAGCTTGTCTAAATCCGCGGGATCAAACCTCGGCATCTTCTTGTTAACCTCTTGTCGAATCTTGTTCATTGCTTCAGGGTTCTTGGACAGAAGCCAGAAGAACCAAGTGAGAGCTGAACTTGTTGTGTCTCTTGCCGCTATCAAGAAACCCAAAATAGTGTCTTTAATGAATTTATCATCACTCGGTTTCAAGTACTTATATTCGGTCGTGTCCATAGTCATGTAGTATGTCAAAACGTCTATGGCCTCTCCTCTTGAGTGATGTTGAGTCCCATGACTTTTGATCTCCTCTCTTTTAGCCGTTATGATCTTCTCGAGTAGTTGATCGAAAACCGCTAGACCTCTTTTCAATCTTTTCTCGACTCCTACACCAATCCAATATTGGAGCCTCCACAAGAAAACCGGCTTAACATGCCTATAGAATACCCCATCTGAAACACCATCTACCGCGTCACCAAACTCAACCTTAGGCATTTCAATAGATAAACATTTTGGATCATACCCGGTCATCAAAATCAAAGATGTATCAAACAAGAATCTCTGGAACAAATCTTGCAAGTCGACAAGGATATTTTTATCAACAGCGTTCTCAAGAATAGGAACAAGCCCTTGCCTTAATTTGTTTACACTTGTACTCACCCAGAACCTTTGGAAATCTTGATGGCTAAAAATGGCATGAGACGAGTTCCTCATATCCTCCCACAAACCCGAGTCAACGTTGAAAATGGAATCACCCACGACTTCAAAGATCTTCTTAAACTCCATTCCTTTGGGGTAATTAGCAAAATTTGAGCTTAGAATGTAGTGGATATTCACCGGATCAACAGTGAGCAAGATGTCCATTCCACTAAGATATGGACCTTTGAAACAAAACGTCATATCGGTGGCCTCAAGAACCTCGGTGATCCAGTCGTAGATACGAGGCACTTGGAGGAGCAGACCCGGAAGCATCCCTAGGACCGGCCAGTTCGTGAGCAAAGGCTTGGGAGATTTCTTGTGGAGCAATAAACATTGGCAGAAAATGAAGAAAACAAATGCTATGAAGATTTCAAGTAAGCCTATGACTATCGCCATTATAGTAACACAAACCGTTTCTTTTTTTCTTTTGGTCAAGAAATTGTTTTTCTTGTTAGTGAGTATATGAATTCGCTTAAATGTATACACATTTATTTCGATCTGTTGCATTGGGATGTGTAACGACATTAAATCATATTATCCGTTAACTGTTTTTCCAATTTTATGTATAGTGTATGCGCAGAGTAATAAATGCCACGAGTAAATTTTCAATTTTGTAAGATTCCTTTCAAATTATGAAAGTTTACATTGATGTATAAAACATAAACCGGTACACATAAGTCTTTTTATAATCAGAATATTTTAGTAAAAATGGACTTTGAAGTCGAAGAATCGTATTCGTAATAGCCAGTTTAATTTGTATATATTTGTACGTAATTATATATTTTTTCTTTGTAATGATTCTGTTTTGCCTTGCTTTTGCTCTAGTATAGGTTTCCTTTACAGGCTATAAATAAATGTTTATTCTTTTAAATAAATTGCACAATCAAACAAAAAGAATATATGTAATATTTGTGTAAGTAGTTTCGTCATTTATTTTGAGTTGCATGTAAACCGTGTTACAGTTTGGATGCTAAATTTCTTTGAATATGTATCTCTTAAAGATCAGTTGTTTTGTACCTCTACATATATTGTTGGTCACACGCAACGTTCAAATAAGCGCTAGTCGCTAAGTGGGCGGTGACCCAACGCCTAGAACGCCTAATCGGAGATTCGACGATTTTAGGCGTTTTAAACATTTACAACATAAATATTATAAATATGATATTATAGATTAAAATCATATAAAAATATATTTTTAAAAAATATTAAATTGTAAACAAAAATTATACACAAATATTTCTTTAATTCATATCAAATATTTTAAAACTTATAAATTTAACTTTATGTAGTTGGAAATTTGAAAAAAAAATACACTAAAATGATATTTATGCTAATTTAGGCGGTCGAGGCGGTCATCTAAGTGTCACCTGAACGCCTAGCATCTAGTCGGGGACTAGGCGACCGCTTAGACCGCTTTTTAGAACACTGGTCACATGTTGTTGAGGAATTATTTTATATCATTTATTTATAGATACTAAATTCATAGAAAAGAATTGTACAAAGCATTTTATATTAGATAACAAGAAAATATAAGAAACTATTTAGTTTGAGTATGATTCTCTTTTAAAAAATTTTGTACCGTGATCATGGACATAGTTTTGTTATTAAATAAATTCTAATGTGTTTTAAAATAAATTTTGATACAATTTAAAATGATATAAAAATTAAAAACCAAAACAAATTAGTTAAACAAGAAATTATTTGATCAATAAATCTGATATTATATATTATTATTTTAAACTCTTGTAATTGTATGTGCGGCTCTTAATTTAGATAAAGCCTCAAAAATTAAAATCTTGTCAATTACAAAAGTAATATAACGGATATATAGAAAAGGATAAACTGTAAACATACATTTGTCAATAATCCAAGGAAAAGATAATTATTTTTTTGGTTCTAGGGAAAAAAAAAATCCTCTATATATAAGAACACCCACAAACGCTCCCAAACATCACAAAGCAAATCTGAAAAGCTTTCTCGAATTCACGTAACCAAAGAACACCCTAAAAGCTCTTGATTCTCTTCGATAATGGTGAATACTTGTAGAATCAGCTTCATAAACTCCATGATTCTCTTGCTCTTTATCAATCAGTCAGCTCTTTCTTCTTCTGTACGCATCGGTCTACAAGAAGGTCGAGATCTTGTTCACCATCGGACACTTGATGAGATTGAAATAGCGGATAAAGCACGTCTCAGTTTCTTGTTTAAAACGATGGAGGAGGCCTATGATTCTAAATTTGATGAGGATATGCCGCTCCCCCCATGGCCTTATGTTAGGGTTAAAGGGGTCGAGGTAATTGGACGTTCGTATGCAACGAAAGGCCAAGTCACTGAGTCAATAATATATCCGAGAGTTTGCCGTTTCTTCTTCTGCAAGTTTACGCCTTTGATTTGGTTTCTTTAGGGTTTGATACTTGCATGTATCATATAAACCCTCTTTTTTAGTGACTTTGTATCATGACATGGCAAAGCTCTTCTTCAATGTAATGGATGTATATTCCTTTGTAAACTCGTCTTCAATTTGTGTAACATATTTTCTTTAGTTTCTTATTCTTTTTTTTTTTTTTTTTTTTTTTTGTCAATTTATTGATTTAGATCCAAAGTACATAAGATACGACCAACATGTTTCTAAACTTTTTCATCTTGTTATGTGTTTTTCTTCTTACTTCAAAAACGTACACAAACTCAATCCCTATCCACAAAATCGGATCAAAGTCTCATAAAGACATAAACCAATTTATATGATTTCAATGGCGAATCATCTTATGCTTTTCTTGATCCTTCTCCGATCACATCACCGGCCTTCACCTTCTCCTCGTCTTTCTTCACTCTCTTTATCTAAAGTGTTTTTCAATAACTTCACCAGATTACTCCTAACATAACACGTTTTCAAATTGTACATATATTTAAAATTATAAAACATGTGTTATATATGTTCGGAGGAAACTGATGAAGTTATTGGTTAAACCTTCGGATATTACACATAAACTACACATATATATTCGTCGGATATTTGTGACCATAAGTATATAATCAAAACAAGAATGTAACTAAATTATTATTATTTTGGGTCAAATTAAAAGCATTTCTTATTTATTGCTTTAAAATAATGCTTGAAGAAGAGGCCATTTCTTTCTAGTATCTACCATTCTTATTTTCTCCTAAAATGATGTCACCTTGTTGTTTAATATCCACTTTCTAAAACTTGAGTATCACCTTTAGGCTTCTGTTTATACATACAAGTATCAAACCTATTTAATTGTTTGTGGCAGCCATTTCAAGATATTTCCCTGAAAAAATAAGACCTCGCCATCGTAAATGATGGTAAACCTACGACGTCCCATTAATAACTAACATTTTCACTACTACAAAAAAATTTCATACTCTTAGCCAAAAGAAATACCCTCCCATAGATGATAGACCCAATCCCATATTTTGACGAGTTACACCTACCACATTAGGAGGAGGCAATAGAGTCGGGGAATTAATCAACTTGAAAGCTCAAAACAGATTTTCAAACATGCATTTGGATTATTATTAAAATTTGAAACATAAAGGTCAGACCGAAAGGTTCACAACAAAGAGCACATAAAGAAAACAGAAAATGAAACATGAACACGATAGAGAAAAGTCTTCTTCTTTTGCAAACATCACCACACAAGTGCCAAAGTCCGTCCATCCTCGAGCTGTTTACCAGCAAAGATGAGTCTCTGTTGGTCTGGCGGGATCCCCTCCTTGTCTTGAATCTTAGCCTTGACATTATCGATTGTGTCTGAGCTCTCAACCTCCAGAGTAATAGTTTTCCCGGTGAGGGTCTTCAGAAAGATCTGCATCCCACCACGGAGACGAAGCACAAGATGGAGGGTAGACTCCTTTTGGATGTTGTAATCAGCAAGGGTACGTCCATCTTCAAGCTGCTTACCGGCAAAGATAAGCCTTTGCTGGTCTGGTGGGATTCCTTCCTTGTCCTGGATCTTAGCTTTAACATTATCGATAGTGTCTGAGCTCTCAACCTCCAAAGTAATGGTCTTTCCAGTGAGGGTCTTCACAAAAATATGCATATCACCTCTGAGACGAAGCACTAAATGGAGAGTAGACTCTTTTTGGATGTTGTAATCAGCGAGTGTGCGATTTAGTATTTATAGGCAATTTTGGTTTAACAATGACACATGCGTCACTGTAACGAACACTATCATTCAACAATGCATTAAAGTTCTACAAGATAAAACTAAAGCTTATATACACTGTTTCGTTCGCACGTGTCTTCACTTGATCCCTCTATTTTCTTCTCTCCCACGTGCGACTTCTTCTTGTATACACTTATCATTCCTTCTTAGATTTATGTCGCAGTTTCCTGCGAATAATGCTAAGCTATTAAATCATTATTACTCTCCATCTTCAAACTAGTATATATATAGAAAACATGTATCTTGTAGTCTATTGAACGATACCATCGTCTGGGGACATTAAATAGTTGCATGTTCCGTGAACTTGCTCCTTAAAGAATAGTTGATCTACTGCCGCCATAAGAACATTTCTTGCAAAACTAATATGCCGAGTGTAACAATAATGCTCATTTAAACCTGTTAAGAATCTCATATGTTCATCCTCAATGTCGGTTGCCATGATTTTGTAATGTTGAATGTGCCGATCTCAAATTGATGTTGGCTTTAAAATCGCAGATTTCTCTATTACCGTTCACATTGGTCAGCATTGCCTCGCTGGTATTCAGTAGACAAATGTTTACATAAGAAGGTATCTCACATTGTTATTCAGGGTACAATTTGACATGCTTTGAACGTGACTATCAAGTTTTGATCAAGTTATTTTATGGAGTGAGAAATTATATGCTAAAAAGATTCCTATACCAATATTTTCTGTTCAAGCTAAATATATCCACCATAGTTAACACCATATATTCCTACTAAAAACAAAAATATATCCACTAAATTGAAGAAGAGTTTACAATAGAATATATCCACTACATTGAAGAAGAGTTTACAAAGTCATTAAAAAGAAGCAGGTTTATATGATTCATCGAAGTATCAAACCCTAAAGCAACCAAATCCAATCCCTAGACTTGCACAAAAAGAAAGTGCAAACTCTCGAATATATTATTGGTTCAGTGATTTTGTTTTTTGTTGCATCCGAGCTTCCAATTACCTTGACCCCTTTAACCCTAACATATCATTAAACATGTGATGCAATATATTGAGAATTTGAAATGATGAGTATATATAACTAAGATATCGCATCCATTGTTGCGTAAAACAATGAAAAAAACAAATTCATGTATAACTTTATTAGTGAAACGAATCAGAAATAAAAGATAACCATGAGAATGGATGACGGTTTCAATTTTACACCATTTTGGAAAACAATTTATCGACATTAGCGACTTTAAAAATTGATATTATTTATGAACAAACACAGCATTGTTTCAAGTTTAAGAAAATACACACAAGTCATTTTTAGCAGGCAAGAATGTAAAGTGTCGACTAAATATATTTAGGCCCAACCACGCATAAAATTTACTTTATTTGCGACTCTCTTGATCCCGAAAATCTTATCCAGTGCGTCTCAATTCTAAAACAACAAAGCTCGGGAAATGTGGAAACAAAGCGAAAGAAGACACTTTTATGATTCCTCAATTTCTTATGTTATCGTATCTTGCTAGATTTTTTACTATTCTATGTTTTTCCGAAAGCGTACCAATATGTGGAAAGAATTGTGTATTCCTAAGAAGGAATGAGGCCTTGATATCCAACGTATCCATGTGTCACGGGTGTTCAGGTTAAGTTTAATTTGGAAACTACTAACTTTATCGGGTTTATTATTGGTAGTCACGATAATATATCAACCGTTAGGTTATTTTTTAGGACAATAAGGATTCTAATTTAGGTTTCGAGACATGGCGGAAGCTACTTAAATTAAGGTAAATTACGGTTGAGTATGTACATCAGGAGATCCGCAATTGTCAGCACTACTAAACATACTTTGTCTTTGATTTTTGGCATCCCACGGGACGCCTTCTCGACTCCATAGATGAGATATGCATTTGAAAATTAGGTGTGTCAAAGTATGTGAAGATCTAAGAGGTGGTCACCTAAACTACGTAGTTGAGAATTTGCTAGAAACATCTTAAAATAGTATGGCAGAAAAAGTTGAAATCCTTTTCTTTTTTTTGTTATCAGCATCTGAATCCAACAAAATATGGTAATGGCATTCATAATCTTTTTAGTTAAATTCTAAGAAAGACGAAAACATGACATAGCAATAAAATATATATAGGCAGAGAAAATAAATTGACTTAATCAAAACTATTTTAGATACTTTTTATATTTTAAATAATTACAAAGCAAAGAAAAAAAGTAAACAAATAACTTGTTTTTAAAATAATGTGCACACTTATGTTTACTTGGAGGTTAGTATTAGATAAATTAATAACTTTGAAGTTTGTCGTAAGCATTCAAATAGTTAGAGATTTTATTTGGAAATTGTAAAAAGGTATAGGGTTTTAATGGGGATTTCCTCAAAAAAGGTAAATAAATAATGAAACATATCTAAAGATTTGTTAAAAAAAAAATAGTTAAAACTATTTATTTCGAAATGATTAAACTTCTTCAAATCAAACTAAACTTTTTGAGGCAAATACATCAATGGAAATGAACTTAAATAAAAAAAACCTTTAAGCATTACAACAATTAAAAAAAACATCACATATAAATTTTGTTTTCTGAAATAGAAAAAAACAAAAAATGCATCTGATCAAACACTTCACTCGAAATACATCCTTTAGCCTAGAGATCATTGGTGATGTTAGGAGCACAAACATCAGTGAGGGCAGTGGTGATGGTAGTGAGACAATTGATTTCAGGTTGGTAGTTGTTGATGTCCATGCCAGGAAGGCCCTCCTTCTCTCCAACATTAAGATTTTGATCCAAATCCAAAATCATACTTTGATTCGAATCTATATTCATTTTCATGTTAAAATCATGGATTTTCTTTGGAATCTGATCATAAAAATCAAAAAGAGCCTGATATTGGAACTTAACCGGCGTTTGCTGATCTTGATTTTGATATTGAATCGTATGACCATCAAATTCGATTGGAGCAGATGCATCTGCACCAATAGGAGCTGCCCCAATAGGAGGAGGTAAAGAAGAAGAAGACTCACCGTTCTCCATAAGGATCTCAACCCTACGAATAAGACCATTGAGATACTTGTCAATAAAGAAACTCAAATCTAGAAGATCTCTTCCGTGAAGACGATACACATCTATTTCCCCTTTGAGACAACTGAACATTAAATCTCGAATTTGAGAATCTCGGTTCTCATCACGTAGCTTCTGCAGTTTTTCTGTTTCTTTGGCGATCCTTTGACGTATAAAAGTCTCTTGATCCACCATCTTCTTGGTCCGGTCTATCACCGAAAACTTCATAAAATTAGACACCACTTCTTCAACGCCTTCCTTTGATGGCCAAGCCTCCGGGATCGAGTTGAACGGGCTATTGATGACCGCACATGCTTCAACATCACATAGAGTCACTAGCTCGTTGAGTTTCTTCATGATCCCTTTCTTCCTTTTGGTGAATGTTGTTTTCCTCACTGTATCATTTTCTATGAACGATAACTTAATCTTCCCCCTCATATCTATAATCTTTGTTATGTGTGTTTTGTTTTGTTTTGTTAGAATGAGGAGGATTGTTTATATAGTAAATAAAAGGTTTTCAACTCAATAGGTTTTTCTTATTTCTTTGCTGGACTAATAAATTTTCAATTTTACTAAATTTTCAGGATAGGTATTAGTTTCACCCTTACGTGTAGGCATGTGATATATTGAGGGTAAAGTGATAAACATTTAGTTTTAGAGACAACCCATACATATATTTTACCTTTTGGGGGGGCATAAAAACAAGACATTTAGGAAAAAAATTGTATCACATATGTAATGAGATTTATCCTTCTTTTAGGATGTCCATTTAAAGGAAAAAAAATTACATCAAAGGTAATTTAAGATATTTCTTCAATCTCTAAATTATTCTATTTATTATTAATTTTATATCAATATAATTAATAATTACAGGTAATATTAGTTGGATAGAAATGATGTTATGGCTAAACCGTGAAGCTTATGAAGCTGATCCTACAAGTATTCACTATTTTTCGAAGAGAATCCGGATCTTTTAGGGTTTTCTGAGTCTTCTCAATCAATGGAGTATCCAGATTCCAGAAGACTTGGTTCTAGACCTCGCTTAACAACCTAGTCTAGAGATTTGTTTACTTACACTGAAACTTGCATAATTTGTGTGTTTTTATAAACCTAAGTGAATTAATCTTGTTATTTTGAACCACTGTTTTCTCATGCCTTGATTGTTTTCTTTGCGTTAGTGCTTACATGTCATGACTCATGAGTTTTAACTCTATATACCATATTTCTCTGTTTATTCTAAAACCAAAAAATTTTAAGTTTAAATATATAAACATTTTAAAAGCGGATAATCTGGCACGACAAGCTCGTACAGAACCGCTTCATATCACATATGTAAACAACATTCCTCAGGAATGGCTCTTTTGAACTTTAATTAATTTCGGATGACAAAAAATATATATATATATAAACATTAAGTTTTTACGTAGTATCCACAACAAATATTAGGATCTTATAATTTTCAAGTAAATATAACTCAAAATACAAGAGCTGCATGTTACAGTAGGCCAAGTATCTAGAGGATATATTTATATCTATATAAAGAGTAACAAATTAAAATATGTAATTGCTTCCACTACTCTTCAAATTTTTAGGATCAGTTCTGGTTTTCATGCAATTTATAACCCTAATTCAGCATGTGCCCACGATGGATAAATTATCAAAGTTATAAAAGAGAGTGCAGTAAGACGAGGAGGAGGTGAAGGTTGGTGATGGGTGATGGGAGAAGGAGAATTGCTTTATGGCTTTATGAGACTTTGACCATATTTTGTGGATAGAGATCAAGTTTGTGTACGTATAATTTGTGAATTGCTTTATGGCTTTATGAGACTTTGATCAGATTTTGTGTACGTATAACAGTTTTGGTAAATTTTCATTAAATTGGAGAAGAGTTTACTAA